TGATTTACAGGCTACACACGTTAGAGCAACACATGCATAGTCAGAAAATGAACTGTAGACAAAGACCAAGAGTTAGCGCCCTAGGGCACATACACAATGATCCGTGACCGGAAGGACGCAAGATGATTCAGTGAGATAAGAGTAACAACAGGCTCGGCACCTGTATGTAGCTCAAGCGGCTAGGGCACCAGCCACGTACACTAGAGCTGGCAGGTTTGAATCCAGCCAGGGCCTGCCAAACAACAATGACAACTGCAACCAGAAAATGGCCAGACCTTGTGGCAGGCGCCCGTGGTCCCAGCTACTTGGGAGGCTGAGGCAAGACAATCACTTAAGCCTAAGAGTTTGATGTTGCTGTGAGCTGTGATGCCACAGCACTCTACCCAGGGCGACAGCTTAAGACTCTGTCTCAAAAAAGAGAGAGAAACAACATTCATTTATATGTACACATATTTTTTGAGACATACTCTCATTTTGTCACCCTTGGTAGAGTGCCAAGGCATCACAGCTCACAACCGCAAATCCTTAGGCTTAAATGATTCTCTTGCCTCAGCCTTCCCAGTAGCTGGGACCACAGGCACCCAGCCATTTTTTGGTTATAGTTGTCATTGTTGTTTGGCAGGCCCAGGCTGGATTTGAACCCACCAGCTCTGGTATATGTGGCTGGTGCCCTAGCCACTGAGCTACAGGTGCCAAGTCAACATTCATTAATATTTTAATCTCACCTTAAACTGTAACTTGCTTTAAAACTTAATACATTGTAACAGTGTGTGTACATAATTGATAAAAAAGAGCCAACTCCAGAGGCATGTAGACCATCACTATTATGACTGTACTATCACAGGTAGGGCTGTTGGCTGTGATGACTCCGCTGCTGCTCTCCTCCCACCAAGTTGAAATGATCCCCACATCGGATACCTCTCCCGTCATCAATTTCTCATAGGCGTTATCAGTCAGTTACAACATTCACTAGATCAGTGGTTCTCAATCTTCCTAATGCCACGGCCCTTTAGTACAGTTCCTGTGGGTGGAGACCCACAGGTTGAGAACCTCTGCACTAGATGATCCCAGCTAGGAGCCCTTCTTGCTCTCATCCGAAATGCCTGGGACCAGAAATGTTTCAGATTTCACATATTTTCAGATTTTGGAATATCTGTATATACGGACTGTTCATAAAGCTCATGTGCATTTTTTACTATGTTAAACTATTTTAAATTGCATACAAACTTTATGTCCACTGTGTATATCAAGAGATAGTCTGGGGACAACACCTAACTCTAAACACAAGATTTGGGTTTCATTCATACCTTACACACATAGCCTGAAGGTTATGCTATATAATATTTTTAACAATTTTGCCTCAAACAAAGTTTTAATTGTGACACATCAGAAAGTCAGACACAGAGTTTCCCCTTTGTGGCATCATAATGATGCTAAAAATCTTTTGGATTTTGGAGCATTTTTGATCTTCAGATTATGGATGCTCGAATTTGTATATTATAGTTAAATATCATCCTGTAGACATTCAACTTTAAGTGCTCAGCAAAAAAGAAAAAGGACAATAAACAGTGGTGGCAATCTGCCTGCCATCCCAGTCTCAGTTCCCCAGTGTCTCCAACAGTGTGTGTGGCTCAGTATGAGGCTACTACTTGACAAAACATATTATTCATTTATATTACCTAATCCCAAACCAACTACTTCATCTGTTGCTCAAGTGAATAAACAAGGATATGCTTCAACCTTAAAGGAAAAGTCAGCACATCTAGTACACTGAAAGATGCAAAGTCAGTCTCCAAAGAGTCCTGACTTTCCAAAGGTACTTCAAGGGCAATTTTTGACAATACAGCACTCAATTTTCATATTATACACTGATTACAGAACCAAACATCAAAGCGAGGTAAGACACGGCTATAGTTATTCTGATTCAAGGGTTCACTCTTCAACTTATCACCAAGAGGTTGTATAAACTGAAATTTGTTACCATACTTAATGGTGTATTACTTCATACTGATCAAAGTGCACTTTATCAACCATTGGCGCTTTAACAGCCAATCAAAAGAATACTGGATAAACTCTGTGGTCCCATTTCAGAAGTTGTGTGCAGTAAGGGAAAGAATAAGAGTTTTGAGTAAGACAATTTGGAGTCCAGTCCCAGGCATGTGGTTGCCAGAGGATGATGTGAGGCCAGGAATTCAAGATCAGTCTGGACAACACAGCATAATCCTGTCTCAAAAAAAAATTAATCAGGTATGGTGGCATATGCCTGTGATCCTAGCTACCCAGGATGAGCTGAGCCCAAGGGTTAGAGATTACATTACAGTGTGCTAGGATCACAGCCACTGCACTCCAGTGTGGGTGACAGAGTGAGATCTTGTCTCTAAAAAAAAATGAACAATTTTTTCAAAGACATTCAAAAGATTTGTCCTTTAGATACTCTGTTGAAAGTTTTTTCTTCAAGTAAATTTGTGAAATGCCACTCTCTAAAGATTCACAAGTGTGTGTATGACACAAAGACTCTGAGAAGACATGCAATAAAGAAACCTAGCTGGGCTCAGCACCTGCGGCTCAAGTGACTAAGGCGCCAGCCACATACACCTGAGCTGGCAGGTTCAAATCCAGCCTGGGCCCGCCAAACAA